TATGCAGACTATGAATGATAGCAAAATGCAGACTAACAAACGTCAGGGGTCACTCGGATCATTAATCCTGATGCGGAACTCATCACTCTTAGGTTTTGCGTGAAAAAAACACCCACAAAAGCTTTCGGAAACTTGTTAAAGCCAAAGGGTGCGTTCCTTTGGAATGATCCTGATCATGGTAGATCAAATGAACCGGTGAATCCTTGTTCAGAGTGGATTCATCGGTTCATTTGATCCACAATGATCCCCGTGATCTGGGATCACTGATCCTAATCCAGATCATCTCAAAGGAACGCACCTTAAATACCGTAAAATGTAGACCGCTAATTCAAACATAAGCGTGACACTTGATTTTGGCGCCAGACGTTAACGTCTTTGATAGGTCATGTAGCTTTGTGTATCAAACCAAAAAGGTGAACTCAAGTGGTCACATTCTTTTCTTATTGCTGGCTTCGATGTTCGCGCATCACAGTGGTCAGAGTTTATATATAGCACGAGAAGGCTGAAACCGAAAGAACTTTCACGGATTGACTTTCCGCGAACGGACATTTCTCCTTTTTGGTTGACAGAGAACACCATTATTCGGCCTATCTTTGGCCTACCAAACGCTCAGGAATAACACCACGACAGTTCACCTTTTATGTTTGACAAACGACCTAAGTCGTTAACGTATGGCGGCAAAATCAACTGTCACGCGTATCTCTGAATTCGCAGCCTATACCTGTTTCTATAGTTTCGTCAGGTGTGGCGAAAGTAAAACTACTCTGCTTGTTTTTTATTGGGACCGTTTTTTATTTGCCTCGCAACGTTTCGAACGCTTGCTGCTGAACTTTATTGGGCGATGGGGTTGATTGGCTGTGTAGGACTACCAGAAGCACCTTGGTTGATTAGTATATTACGAACCTCCCTCATGTTAGTGGATTTCGATTTTGATGAACAATCCGCCTGCTTTTATACATCTGTTCATCCGTCAATTTTGACGCATTTTGAAGATGGATAATCCGTCTCAGACTAGTGTGAAGACGGCTAGTGTTGGAACCTACTTGGCCCTTAAAATTCTTGGTGGGGGTGTGCCGCCCAGTTCTGCAAATCCTGACCCTCTTTCAAGCAAAAAAATGTCATTTTTCACACCCGTTTTCAGACCTGGCCTCTAAACATCTATGCCCGTTTTCAGATCTGGTCCCATTACTTAGATTAGAACGTCCCCAGTGGTATTGAACATACTGATCGGCCGCTGTGCTGCCTGTTCGTAGGCATCTTCGCTTCGGGATTAGACTGCAAAACAGTCGGTTTTTTCCTCAAAATCAGTAAAGAAATCGGTAAAGCGTGGCGTAAGAGTCTAACGCCCGCGAAGCGCGCGAGCCTCACACGTCCGTCTCCCTAGTCTCGCTCTCAGTTTTCAGCCTCGTTCCAGACCTTTCGTTTGACTACTCGCGCTTACTTGAATACTCAAAAACTGAATACGGACTGTTTTGCAGTCCACTTCGGGATTATTTGTTACATTTTTCTATCTTGATGTTATTCTTTTCGAGTAGGAAACCAGCAATGAGGTGCAGTTTTTCTTGATGCATGATTACGACAACAACAGCAAGTTAGACGGACTGGAAATACTCCATGGGCTGTTTCATCACCATCACTCACACGAAGAAGGTACTATCTTGGGCTCTAGGGAACCAAAAACTCAAGTGGGGGAGTGGTGGGGTAGCAATAGCAAACATCCAGGGGGGGGGGGGGGTCCATTTAACAGTCGGGTGACTGCACTCATCTGGAAGGGATTGCTTATTTACACCTGGCAGCAGATATCCTAGCCTGCGAACCGCAGACGCATTTCCGGTCGTCGCTTCTCTCCCTCCGAAAAATAGCGTCTGCGAACCCGAGCCACAAAACAATTTCCGTGACGTAAAACCTCTTGATTTGATGTAGGCCAATCAGATCAAAGGATAGAATACAGCTCGAGTGACTCCTCGCGACCTCGCGCGCTGAAGTGTCTTGGATTTTGGAGAGAATTACCAAATACGCTTTGGAACGTGAATTTCACGACCATAACAAGGTTTCCTGCGACGTTGAATGCTGACTTCTTTATGAAGCAACTGCTTCTTAAGCTATGTATGTGATGTGGGCCTTTGGTTTCACTTATAAAATACGGTAGTACGTGACATAAACAAAACCTGGACAAAATAATCGCTACAGCGAAAGGAAAGTAACATAGCTTAATGACATCGCGCTTAGACTTATTTATTTCAATTTAACCAGCGCTGACAAAAGGTGGTGAATCAATTATACAGGTAAATCCTTGACTGATTCAGAAATCTCTAACAATCGCTCGTTAATAATTCTAGTATCGCCACAACACAATGATCTGAAATATTATAAACCTGGGCCAGACCCAGCGTGAAATAAATGGTTACAGCGGTAAATAGATCATAGTCAAAATGACATTTCAGCTACGACGCTTCTACTCATCTCACAAAAAACTATGGAAATGAGAACCTTGAAAAGAACATGTATTTAAAGAAATATACCGGAACAAATATAAAATGCTTTCGATCTGATCAAAGTTCTATCTGAACCAAGAACCAACCACGCATGGGAAATCAATTACCACATGTCCTACCTTTCAAAGATAAAGGATATCTACTAAAAAATATCTAAAACGGCACACGACAAACTATCGAAGAGTTCTCCAAGGTATACTTTCCTGCCAGGAACCAGAAAGGAACAGAAGCAACAAACGGCATGATGCGTCTACTGTTATTAGGACAGTTATCTTCTACTTCTACTTCTACTATATTACTTCGCAAAGCCTGTACAGCATCACGCGAAGGATCCGTATATCAAGGTTGACCACAACACCGGGGTCTACGATCCCTCCTCTTTTCGAATATGATTAAAACAACTACGTCTGATAAATCATTGACTCCGTAGGCAAATAGATGAAAAATGTCCTCTAATCTTTTCTTCGATATGAATCCTCTTGATACTTATTTCGTCAATCAGTCCCACAATCCTGGCAAATTAACTTTCGTAAACGCGTCGTTCTGAGAAAAAAGGACGGCTACTACACAAGCCACGTCGTCCTTTCAATTTCGACTTGAAAACATATCCATCGCGCACGATCCTGCGAGAAGTCTCGCGAGTTAGTTCCTTGATTTTAAGAGCTAAACCGTGATTGGCTGAAAAGGTTTTACGTCACGGAAATCGTTTTGTCGCTCGGGTTCGCAGACGCTATTTTTCGGAGGGAGAGAAGCCACGGCCGGAAATGCGTCTCCGGTTCGCAGGCTACATTTAAGGTGGCTAGACTAGATTTTTTTAGGAGCAATACCTCTCAAGTTTGACGTTCAAACTTGAAGGTCATATAAAAAAACCTTGTGGAGATCATCGTGCGGTTTCCAAATTATTCGCAATATTTGTTAAAGTGAACCACAATGTTTGCAAAAAAAAAAGGCAAAAAGTAGCAACGCGTGCTAATTAAATCTTTCAGATAAAGCTATCCCTTCGAGCTTTTGACATACGTGAGGTGCACTTGCATTTCCAAAGCACTTCTTTTCAGTTTTTTCTAACCAAAAATTTTCATTGCAAAATATCTCGATAAGGTTCTCATAGATATTGCCCAAACTTAACAAACGTTGAGGCAACTGTTGAACGAACAAGCGCCCGCGAACGAGTGTGGAAAAACCTCTTAGTGCCGAGAAACACGACGACTAGTTATATGGGTAACGAGGTATTAACGTTGCTAAGACAACTCCAGTGTCAAGTTCAAGTTCATTTCTTCACATTTATTTAATTATAATACAACAACAATAAGAAAAAAAGAAGTAAAAACAAAGCTAACTGTACATTTAAATTGAATTAAACATAACAAAGGAAAAAAGTGTATAGCAGCCAAAGGAGCCAAGCTTTCCAATTGGCTACTACCACAGAGCGGTTACAAGTGGGTGGAGGTTATACGGTACTTACAAAAAAACTAGTTATGGGGTTCTGGCTAAATTAATCATATTGAAAAGGAAGGGTATATGCTCCTGGTATATATGAGTAATAATAACTATTTAAATTAAATAATTAAATAAATAGAGCTAAATAACAGATTAAAGTTGTTCACTGTCAAGTAGAAAGAGTTTATATTCTTTATTAAAACTGTCAATATAACACTGACCATAACAAATTTTCATCTTTGTCTGATACAACTTTGGTGGTCGTTTTCATGTAGTTTTGTTAATGGTGACGTAGTTAATTCCCAAACTTAGGTGGTATTGCTCGTGAAAAATTTTGTCGAGTCACCTTAAAATACGCAGCGCGGAATCATTTTCAATAGATCGTCTTCAGTCACGTGGCCAGCTGTTATGTATGTATGTATGTAAATCTTTATTTAAACACGGGAAATCATCAGTTAAGCTTAAGTTAAAAACTAAAACTAATTACAACTGCTTTACATGATTGCCGTGTGGGAATCCGGTATATCAGCTACCTTCTTGATATTTCGCTTAAAATGCTCAACGGATGCAGCGTTTTTTAAGTTATTGGGCAAGTTATTCCATAACATGGCCCCGCTGTAAGAGAAGCTTCGTTTCAAATAATTGGTGCTTGGTTTGGACAAGGTCAGCCTTCCCTCAGAGTTTCTTAAGTTGTAAGCAGAGTGACGCTGAGAGAAAAGACTTTGCAGATATTCTGGAGCAAGGTCATTCATGGTTTTATACATCATTACGGCTTTTTGTTTCTTTCGTCGAAGAGATAGCCTCTCCCAGCTGAGGGTGGAGAGAAGGTGGTTTGAGCTCGCATCAAAGGGTGATTTAGTAACAACTCTGGCTGCACGATTCTGTAATTTTTGGAGCTTATCACTCAAGTAACCACTCAAACAGTCCCAGACGGGGCTGCAGTAATCAAAATGAGGCATAATTAAAGCGTTATAAATTTGAATTGCAGTTTCTTTGGATATAAAGGGCCGCACACGTTTTAGGGCGCCTATAGCTGAAGAGACTTTCTTGCAAATCTCTTCAACGTGTTTACCCCAAGAGAGTTGAGCATCTATGGTAAGACCCAAGGATTTGGTATGATCGACTCTCTTAATAATTTGGTCATCAATTCTGATTTCTACATCGTCACATTGGGCAGATAGTCTTTGTCTTGATCCAATAATCATTAGCTCTGTTTTAGCAATATTTAGACTGAGCTTGTTAGCTTTCAGCCAACAGCTAAGGTTATTTAATTCAGGGGTTAGAGCTAGCTTAAGCTCTGTTAACGTCTTAGCAGATAACGTAAGGTTGGTGTCGTCGGCAAACATTCTTGGTACGGCGCCCCGCAGGGAGTTGGGAAGATCATTAATGTAAATTAAAAATAGCAAAGGACCCAATATGCTACCCTGCGGCACGCCGCAACTGAGGGTACGAGCAGATGATAGTTTGCCACTGACATTACATCTTTGGGTTCGGCCACTTAAGTACGACGAGAACCATTTTATAGCTGCCTGATCGACACCCAAGTACGACATCTTACGCAAGATGATCTCATGATCAATGGTGTCGAATGCCTTAGTAAGGTCAATAAAGACAACGCCATTTAGAAGGCCATTGTCGATGTTTACTGACCAAGCATTTGTTGCCTCAAGCAAAGCCGTGAGCGTACTATGTAGAGAACGGAACCCTGATTGGCAACCTAGTAGCAATTAGTTGGAACAAAAGACAGTTTTAACATACGAAAAAGGGTTCTACTCTCACAGGACAGTGATAGGACTGCTTTGGTACACCAACATGGCCGCCTTTTCATTCTTTTGGAACACAAATATGGCGGACGTGACGTCACGTAAAAACGTTCTATATTAGACGTTTTTCGGTTGCTGGTGATTGTTCTGTTGAAAGAACGATACTCGACATTGCGAAAACCAAAAAACGTTTTAACATTTCAAAATAGAAGCAAATTAAAGGACTCTCTCTTTTTTTTCGTTACAATCACATTTACGAAAAAAAGTCGACTCCAGGAGCCACAACATACGAGTTAACCCACAGAATGCGTCGAAGTTTACGCAGTGAAACGTGTATTAGACGGATACCCACGTGACCTTCACTGGAGTCCGCTTTATAAGGGACCGGTCAATATTTATCGCCAGGGGGTAGCGGAGGATTTTGGAGGGGGATCACTTGATTTGTAGGAGAACAAAAGAAGGGATCAGTCGTAACTGAGAACCCAAAAGGGGGGATCGCTGAAAACTTTGAAAGGATTCAGAGGGGGGACCACTCAAATTTGCTTGGAAAATGAAAACATGGGGTGGGGGGGTCATCAAAAGTTATTAGAGAGGATCACTTCAGTGAAGTAGTATTCAAAAGGGGGATCAGCTAAGTTTCACCTTGTTTAACCCCAAATACTCCGCCTCCTCCCCCCAGGCGATAAATAATGACCGGTCCCTAAAGGTGTCCACTAAATGCAGGTTTGTTCTACTTAAAATGGGAAAAAAACGTTTTAAGCTGAGCTAATCGTCTGCTTACAGGGTGCCCACTTAACACAGGTGTCACTGTATTCAAATTATGTTGGTTAATCAATTTGAGTAGCTTGTGCAGTTTTCAGCTCTTTGCAAGCAATGCCGGAAAAACGAAACAGCAGCAATCGCGGAAAACTGCAAAACCGTTTGGTGGCAAAGTTTCGCGTTTTTAAAAAGAAATTCCCCGAAACTATCTGGTGTCCAATCGGGCACAAAAAATTCAGAGGCAACTGAAAATTCAGTATTCAGATACACTGGAACTAAAAGACTTACTCTTAACAACTACTTTACGGTCACCTTGTTATTACGGCCCCTTTTTTTGGTCCGCCAAAACGGTCATACATTTTCCTATAAAATTTATAAATCTAAAGCAATAGAATCTTTTATAATTTCACCACGTTAACACAGGCACTCGTTCGAAATTTAGAAAATTAAAATGCCTGTGTGATATGTCAGTTTCACTGACCTAGCAATCTGAGCATGTTCTTGTATTGTTTTGAGACCGTAGGACACTTAAAATGCACTTGTAGCGGTTTAATGGCCGATTTTCTTAAAGTGTTTAATAATTAGTCTCCCTTGCGCAAGCAGCGGGACTTAAAAGGACACGAAAAGAGCTAATGGTCCCAGGCGTTCCTAGCGGAGACCGTGGAAACTGCGAATAAGAATCGTTGGGTGACTGAAGCCACGCATGTTTTGCGGGGAAAGCTTAGGAAAGATTAAATTTAGAGCTTTTCCAGAACAGGTCGGTCCACGAATTCTATCGCTTGAAAGCGTTAATTATTTTGAAACAAGTGAACACCACAGTGGTCGAAAAAAAAAAAAAAAGAAAGAAAAAAATCTTAATTAGCAAAACTGCGATGGTCGTTTGTTGTAAACTAGTTTCGTCGTTTGCAAATGGGCCTTGAACATGCGGTTTATTTTCGGCGATGATTGAAATGACGTGCCATGTAAATCACTTTTTCGATCTCTGGCAATGATGTAATTTCTCTGGAATTGAGGCCCTTAAATTTTCGTATATTTATACACTCGTATAGCCTGCCACCACAGACGTATTTCCGGTCGTCGCTAACACGCGTACTAAATCAGTTCAGAAACAATTAAAAAGTAAACATCCTAAAGAATACTTGACCGTCGATAAAGTAAGAGGTGACAAACCTTTAGCGAGTAAACCCTGTTTCGAATAGAATTAATCGCCTCCTTATTTCTCGATCTAATCACCAAGCAAGCGAGGCTTAACGCCGCTGTAAGAGCGTTCTTGCTACTGTACACGATATCTACATTACGATTGTTTATATTGAGTGAGAACATTTGATCAAAGTGCAAATGCGAATTTATGGTACATTTGCCATTCCCGCCAGCTTAAGTCCTTTAATTTGACCCTGCCCTGGCTAGACTGGGCGTTTCCCTCTTTGTCCCATTAGGAGCGGTTACACAGACCATGGTAAAAGGTATTTCCCACGTTAACGAAGCCGTGGTAAATTATAATGTGGGTTTAGTTTACCGTGGTAACATGTGGTTACAGGTGAAATTATTCCCTAGGCAATTTAACCGCTTTTACGGCTTTATTAGCGCTTTTTCCCGTCATTAATCGCCGTCGATCATGGCAGTATTTCATGTGATGTTGAAAATTTACATATAATTTAGCTGAAATTTTGACTGGTATTTTATAGCCTGCGAAAACATCCGTTTCTCCTTGCTCTTCCCCGCTGAGATGATGTATTGTGCGTAAAATAAAAATAACTTTGGATAGCTGTTTTCCAACCAGTCTATTAAATGCCAGTTTTCGTCAGGTTTCAGGCGAGTTTCTGATTAGTTTATTTTAACTTCCTTAGTGTAAATTAACATTATAGATATAGCATTTGCATTTCCCCATTTAGACCAAGTGATACTCTCAAGGGAATTTGCTTTTTGTCTTTTCATTAATACACATATGCATATGCATATTTTTCGCATTATGAATAGTGTGGGGAGTGTGTTCGAGCAACTCGCTCGCTACACGATGAGGTACCAGGAATCTGAGTTACATCTTGGCCTTTATTCTTCTTGATCTTCTTCCAACTTCTACTTACTCAGCAACTTTTTCAGTTCTACCAACTTCACTACTCTTCTCTACTTCTACTTACAAGTTCAAGTATAGTAGATGTTTTAATAGCCAAAGCTGGACATGTTTGGGTTAGCTGACTGGAAGAGTTTCTATTGTATATCTTATCGCTAACATTGCAACAGGTTTGCTATTGTTAGGAAATAGATTAGCCTACGCACAGCAGCAACTGATAAGTACCAAAGAACGAAGGTCAGCTCTACCACCACAAACACGACCACCTGTAAAAAACTAACATCTGACAATGCCAAGCGAACAACATTCCTAATATGGCAATAAGTAAATTCGCGAGCTAAGCATAACTTTAAGTACAAGTAAAAACAAAAGATCAAAACGGGAAAACAGAACGTGGACAAAAACAAGACTTAATGAAACAAAAACTAAACTCAAAAGTTAAGATAGATCCATCTTAAAAATAACTTTCAAAATACTCCACAACAATAGCGCGACATACGAAAGGAACAGGTTTCTGAGGTAACATCAATGGGAAATAAAACGTACGAGCTAAAAAATTCTATTGTCTTTGTTCACACTGATACTTTTTCATAATCAAATGAAAATTTAACGTTCCCAGCCTTCGCCTCGACTACACCCGGCCTCCAAACCAATAATTTGTGGTTGATCTTGCTGTACTGGAACAACGAAATGCGATGTTGGTATTGCTCTTCCAATATCCACCGAAATTGGCTTCATTTTCACTGGAGCCTGGTGTTTTTCCAAACTGGCATTTATCCTGATCGCTAAAGTGCGTTAAAAATCTTTGATCGTTTTGCCACCAGGCCGCCGTGCATCCCGTACAGTTATGCCCGCGAATATCGATGTAGTCCATCTTGCAGCATTTTCCACTGGCCTCGAACTTAATTGGGTTCAAATTCTGGAAAGCGGCCCGCAGATAATCTCTGAAATCGACTCCGAAATTTGGAAAATCACACGTTACTCTCCAATGGCTAGATGACTCTTTTATGACCCACATTCGACCTTTCCCGATTCTGTACTTTTCCCAGTTGGGAGTGCGGTGATTCTTTAGGGCTCCTTTTGGGAAAGGTGATTTCGCAAAAATTTGCCCTCTGTTGCCAAAACCTTGCGACATAACTAGAGTCCAAGCCCAACCAGGCTCCGAACTGAAGTCGCAATACATTTCGTAAAACAGACACTCCGTTCTGCCTTGTATGAGGTAAAAACCCGATGTTCGTGCTCCTTGATTCCATGCCTCGAGGCAGCTCCTAGGTTTCTGTAAATTGTTTGAAAACGAGGTTACGTTGAAAATATTACTTATCCTACGGAAACTACATTTATTACATTTATTTATGAGTCATTTCAATGGAGACCTTTATTAAAGTATCATCAATGGTAAAAATCGATAACTGAAACTGAGTGAATTACTTTCCCTTCCAAGGAGACCATTACTTATTTCAACTGCCAAGTTGGTCAGGTTAACACCTGCAATCATTCAAATTAATATTTTGGCACTTCTTTTTCTTTTTGTTTTTCTAGGCAGCACAAAGAAAGGCTTCCTACGATACTATCTTTTTAATCCTCTTCCTTTTTGTTAATGTAAGTGCCCGCTCGATGCCAGCACAGCTAGCGAAAAAAAGAGGCGGATAACAGCAGTTGTATAGTATACAGTATGAGGCCTTCCGTATAGTAGGTACTAGGAGAGACACATTGCATTCTGCAAAGCTGATCTTACTACGTATAATAAGTGAAAATTAATTTTGCAAGACATCAATACCACAATGATAGAACCCAAAACAGAAACAGGTCACTACTACGTTCTGCGACATACTCGTTTGTGGTTCTTCGCCGTTCATGTTCGCTTATTACTAGGAGAGGGGAGATAAGAGATTTGAGGTAGAGAAGAGGAGGGCGAAAAGAGAAAGGAAGGCTTTCTCTCCTTTCGCTTCTCTCTTCGCCCTGGTTTCTTATATTTTTTGTTTATTTCGTTTATGGGGAGAGGGGGGGGAGTATTGCTCTCTTCTTTATCATCTTAATTCAGTCCCTAAAGTACCAGATTTTGATTTCAAACGACGTAAAAATGAAAATTATTGTTATTAGCGGACTGTAGTTGAGTATGTGTGTAACCTTTTTACCTAATTTCTTTCATTTTCCGGCAAAATTTAACCAGAATTCCTCCGGGAATTCTTTTCAATTTTTTTTTTGGAAAACGAAATGAAATGAAGAAAAAAATTAACGAAATTTGGTAAAAAGGGAACACACATATTCAACTTCAGTCTGCTAATGAGCTCAAGGCACCATGCTGTGGCAAAAGGCCGATTGGCTGCGGTAAGAGAGACCGTCTGATTTTGCAGTCTTTGTCTTCAAATATTAAAATTTTAATTTTCAAGTTCTCATTCTAATTTTCAGACTCTTCAAATCATAAAACTTGAAACATCTCCAGCCATATTCGTTTATTTAAACATTGTAAAACAAAATCATTAAAAAAATTTTTAAACATTAATTTTGCAAATGGCTACACACCAATTGAGGCATTTTCAGATCGAATAAAATCTCGGAGAAATTTTGAAGGAGAATAGCTAAATTATGCATAAAACTAGGCTACCTCCTTAAATTTGCAATTAAAGACATAACTGAAACTGTGAAGTCTTTGTTTCCACGATGCTTGATATGAGCAAACAAAGTCAATCTAATAGATGACCCGGCCGAACAAGCCCCAGATACAGTGGAACCTCGATTCCTATTTATATGCGTGTTGGTTATGTTTTTGATTTGCGTTTTTCACAATGGAAGATTCAACCGATTTCTAAGATTTTTAGCATCCTTAGTAAATAATAATGGAACTTTAAAAAAATGTTATTTATTTTCTTGTAGGTATAAAAACCTTTGAGATATCGGGCATATATTTAAAACCGCATTTTTACGAAAAATGTAAATAATTTCGAAATCCCGCGACAGATTTTTCCTTAACTTCAGCAAATAAGCCTTCGAGCTCTCTAGTTTTACATCTGAAAGTTTGAAGGCAATCTGACCGTAGAACTCGCTGCGCAAAATGCTGGTCAAATTTAACCTTAAAATGCTACGCTAACACATTTGTGAAAGTTGACGCACAAATAGAGGTAGAGTGCCGACAGACTACCTTTTATCTGAAAGGATATTCCTAGCTATAAAAGCTTTATTGCAAGAAAGAGAGTAATCAGAAACTTACGGCGAATACAGTTAGCTTTTAAAGCAAAGAAAGGATGGGGGGGGGGGTACTTCCCAAAATGGCCTACACGGGAAGGCTCCGCCCGAAAGGTTAAGGATTTCAGTTGTTGAGGTATGTGAAATGGCAGGGACAACTGTCATAAAACCGGTCTGCAAACAGGCCCAATAGATGCATTTTAAGGCTGTGAAGGAGTCGAGAAAACGCTTCGGTTTTGTGATTTATTCCTTAAAAGACGGTGTATTTACAGCAATTGAAAGCTGAGATGCAAAGGTTTAAGGTAGGTCATGAGTAGGTCTTTTCTGTTAGTAAAAAAGGGTAAGGAGTTAGAACTCAGGGTGGAGCCTCCCCGTGTAAACTTGCTTGAGTACTGCCCCTCCCCCCCGGTTTCAAAATCGCCAGGTGCATAGGGGCATTTCGTAATAACAAATCTTAGAAAATTAACTCACCGCTTTTTGTCTTAATCGAACGAAGAATGACCCTTTCCTTTCCTGGAGTACTTCTGTACTCTCCGCTTCTTCGTTTATGAGCTCACACGCACCTTGGCTTTCTGTGGAGCGCTCATAGTTGTACGAAGTACATGCTGGATCTGCTAAGCATTTGTGACTGCATACAAGAATTCCACGGGTTATTATAGATTTGTAATTACCGCCGATCAATATCTGATCATTGTAGATCAGACCATGCGCTTCATGACAAAATTCAGATCGGCTAGAATGAAACAAGATGAAAATTGCGGAGAGGATAATTTTGGCAAGCTTCAGCTGCATTGCTCTTTGTTTTATTAATGACTATATTGGATTAGCCTAACAAACAGAAACGTCTCTCTGTGACGGCGCTATGAATTGTCATCTGTTCTGGGTCCAAATTTTTTTTTTTGGGGGGGGCGGGGGGGGGCTGGGGGAGCGGGGAAGCATTGTAGTTCGGAATCAGCCTCGTTCCCAGTCGCCCTTTGCGATTTCGGATGTGGCATCACCTATCAAGCTTGTCGGGAGAATTTTCTCTGTTCCAAGTCTCCTCCCCTCACTCGAATAGCGAGAAATGAACTCAAGGCAAGGCTGATTAAAAATAATTTTTCCTGAATTTTTTACATAATTATAATATTCTGTGTAGAAGGATGTGTTTTGTCCTCGTGTTTTTTTAAACTTATAATCAGTTTGAAATAACTTCTCTCTACGATGATCCAGGCGTTTATCCCTCATTTTAAAATCTGAGCAGCAAAATTACAACAAAGTCCAATTAACTCTCTTCCTTCAGCATCTTTTGGACTTTTAAAGTTATGAAGTATATATAATCGTCGATTAATTTTTACAGCTGAATAAGTGATATGTTTGAGAGAATTTTTTCTTTGTAAAAAAGAGTATTATTGATGGTGCTAATTTTATACATATTTTTAAATTTAAAATTTATATTTTTATGCTAAGTTTTCACTATAGTCAACGCGCTACGCTAATGCACCCCGTCATACTATTTTAACTGTATATGGCATAAAAAAGTTTTAACTGCTGCATAATGTTAACAATGATAACCGAGAGAAAACAAACCCCTCTTTTCTGTTAAATACACACAAATGTTGCAGCTGGGACGTTTTTAATTAAACACTTTCAATTTAAGGAGATTGATAAAGAAATCCAATTCATAAAAAGACAGCAATCATTGATTTTTAAATCCAGTGGGCCGTTTCACAAAATACAATTGCAGAGACAGATTAAGCATGAAAACCGCACGTAGGGTTGCAACAGCAACAAATGTTTTGATCAATCATGAAACGTTTTCAGCCGCAAGTTCGTTACAAATTGGTCGTTCCCAAAATTGACGGTAAGATTATTTACACTTCTTTGCCATTAAAAATTACAATGATAGCACACCAATAGGAGAAACAAAGAGACTTCCTGCACCTGAAACTAATGATTATTTGATCTATCTAAAAAGCCAAAAAGATGAGTTCTAAAGGAACGGTTACTTAATCAGGTTTTAGTAAGCTAATCTCGAAGAAGTGGTCGCCATGAAATGTTCATTTATGTCCGTGGTTTTGTGTCTTTTCTTGTGATCCAGATATTTGTCAGAGTTCCTGCGATCCAATTAATTGGTTTGTTGTGCGGCTCTGTTCAGATTCTGTTCAGTTTTAACCCTTTCACTGCCAAATGTGGCCAAAGGAAAATTTCGACCAAATTTCCAAATTACATTTTCGAAAATTTTGACAAACAAATAGCATCATGTGAAATTACAGGCAGAGAGCTTTCATTTGAATGGTCACATCACAGGATTATGTCCGCAGACTCAAAAGTTAGAACCACCTTACAAAACTCTATCAAACACTCTGGCAGTGAAAGGGTTAAATTAAGACGCTGAGTCAAAAGCTTTTGCGTTAAATTGTTGTAAAGGCTGAGAATACGAATCGTTTATTAATGTATCCCGGGAGAAGTCCGGGTTACTCTTTTGATGTGCTACCCTAGGTATGTGCGGCACCAAAATGGTTGTTTATTACCCCTTTTGAATTCAGATTAGGTGCATTTTCACCGATTATGCCTTATGTACATGATATAGTGTGAGGTTTCTTGCTTCCTGGAACTAGAGTCTGGAATTGGATACGTTCAGGAGCCAGTCCTAGGCTCCTGATACGTTGCATTGGAGAACCGTGTGAAGGCCTTAATTAACCACACTCTACAGTGACTCTATATCTCAAACGTTGCGATACACATCCTTACATACAACTTGATACAAAGTACCTAGATTTGCGAAAACAGTCCCTTTCCGAGATGGCAAAAGATTCAATTCGAACTAAGAAGAAAAAGACTAATTGCCATTACATTCTATTTGCTTCCTCCTAAAATCGACTCTCGATAACTCAAACCATCAAGGGAAATCGAAAACAATTCGAGTCATCTTGAGTTCGAAGCAAATAACCAGAAGTAAGGAAAGGGGATTGAGGAGGAATGAAAGTATTACGCACACTTCACTTTCAAGAAGGACTTTAGGGGCAGCAAGTGATATATTGATATTCTGAAAAGGAAATTAAGCAACAAAACTTGATAAGTGCTTATAAGTGATACAGTGCTTATCATTGCATTTAAATGGACTAACAAAAAAGAAAAGAAGCTTACAGACAAAGAATACACGGTTGTTTTGAGAGAAATTCAATGTTTTGGACTGCAGTTGATCACTGCGTTTTTTTCCCATTTGTCATGTGCTTAATCAATAAAACATGGTTTGAGTTATCGAGGGTAAAATTGTGTAGAAACGATCTGAAGCGAAACAAAAATTACTTCGAGTTAGTGGGAGGTTCATGTTACCGATGGTAAAATCGATACAATAAATGTATGAAAGAAATCCAGGGGAAACAGGTTTTGGTTCGAGTTAACGTAGACTGTTGTAAGGAAAGATTTTCCATGAATTCTTTATTTGCCTCAAATTTCATATATAGCTTTCAAATATATTCGCTTTGACGTTTGTTGTTCTTAGTAATTCACACTGAATTCGCATAAAGAGGTTTTTGCTCCGCGAAAAGGCTCGTGCCATTTTATTGTCCTTTGTTTCATTTACTTAATGTTTGCTAACGCAATAATTCTAGAAAAAGCCAACAGTGTTTACAGCTGTCAAAACTATTTGCCACTGACTCTTTCAACTGGACACGTTTTACTTCAGGTGTTATCTTTTAGAAAAAAATCATTAGTTTTCAGAATAATGACTATTAACTTACTTTATCTTTTAATTTAAGCTTTCTTTTTATTCTGCCCGACATCCGTTCACATTAGCACGTTTTTACAGATGTACCTCGTTTTAATTGCATTTTACCCATATGTATTTGCTAATATAACGTTCATTAGTCTGTTGGTTAAATAGTGGCAACAGCTGAGTCTGGGAATGAAAGGTTTTAAGTTTACAACCAAAACAACTCAACCTCGTCCACAGGTCCTCTCGGTTAACGGTGCATTAACCTGTAGAAGGCTGCATTTTTTACGTCACTTCCTCGTTAAACACAAAATTCTTCCAAATTTGGTCAGCAGTAACTGGTTATGGTGAATTATGCGTGTGCTTTTAGCCAGTCAGAATTGGGGAAATATTTTGAATGAATAATAATTAACAATTATTCCTCGAGCCCAATGGGCTCTGAGTCAATAGCCCATGAGGCTGAACGGGAAGGCCGAAATGGGCTATTGACTCAGAGGCCATGAGGGCGAGAGGAATAATTGTTTTAGTAAAATCCAATTAGTTGGTCAAAAATATCGAGTTCGCTACTAGTAGGCTATAACATATAGCCTAGTACTAGCTCAACCAATCAGAACGCTGCTTTGATAATAGACCACTAGTTGGATTTACTAATGTAAAATATCGTACGTAAATGCAAACGTAGCTAGCTTTTGTTCCAGTACATTTACTTTTTAAAAATAGCAACACTAACAAGCTATAACTACCTCTTTTATTTGATTTTCATTTACTTCTAACTGATTTCTGTTTACACATCTATTGTACTCTTTTGTTTTCAATGGCTATTCAAATCATATGTAAGTAAGTTTCTTTGAACTAATTTTTCGATTACATCGCCGATTACATTTGTGAGCTAAGTTACGCTACGTGTACAAGAATAAACGCTGTTGGAACCAAAGTTCAGTTTGCTTTTGCTGTACCAGTTAGTGGTTTGATCCCGGACCTCAAGAGAAGTGACGGCCCTTTTCCGCAAGCGAGTTGCAATTTAGTCTAGTTTCCCCAGTTAATCGAGAGTTAAAGCGCCGAGTTCCCGTTGAGTGTTCAAATCGTTCGAAAGTGGAAAAGCCTTCCGTCACACTGTTCACAGTCCCCTATTTTTCTGTAGGATTGTCGAGATCGAGAGCGCTTTGCGTTACGGGCTGCGCCCGCCCTCTCGGTACATTTGAAAATCAAGATGCCGGCCATTAATGGGTAAGACGCGCTATATCTAGACTATCTCACGAAAAAATAGGGGACTGTGAACAGTTTAGTGTTAACGAGGGTTCGAATTATCGGGAGGCGACTGTAGTAGTTACATTACGTGTTCAAGTGCATGGTCGAGTCCAATCCGTTTCTCGTTCAGTTCATAACAAGTGATTAAGTCAGTGTTTCAAGGACACATAACGAATAGCTCCGCCAGAATTTCCAGAAGTACTCACTGGGTATGTAATGCTTGTTACGCGAAGTGTTCTATGCGTGAAAAACAGCTGATGCATAAATTTATTGTAATTTTTTTCCGCGGAAAAAAAAATAAAAATAAAAAATGCACTTTATTTGAGTGTCAATGTATTTAGCACGAAAGTACTAATTGGGGACACGGGACCGCCTTTTTACGTGGTCATCCGAGCCACACGAAGGTCCAGCGACCTCCCGCTCTGCAGTCAAGCGCTCTACCGACTGAGCTAATCCTGCAGCGGAGCCTGGGAACAAGGTTTTTACTCTCTCGAAGGACACAAAAGGGCAGAAAATAGATCGAGTTTGGCTTCTTTTGGGCGTCTTAGGAAGGAAGATGCGCGAAGCGCCATCGCGCCATCCGTCGGGCTCAGTCCATCCTCATTTAGACAGTGGTAATAGTTCCGTGTTCAAGTAAACGAACTGTAAATGAGTTGAAATGCCGCTTCTCGGTAAAGATTACCTGGACTATTCGGTGCTAATGAGCGGATTGCTGAATGAGGTCTTTATCAGATAACAACTTTTTCCGGTAAATTTCCACCCAGACCAGTGGTTTCCAAAATTTCCGGAAATTTTTTCATCAATATGACACAGTGTCATGCAAATGGATCCACCCAGTTGACAGAATAAA